AAACATGAGCGTTAAGATCAAACATATTAGCATGGCAACTGAATGGCAGGTAAAGACAGTAATCTGTCCAAATTACACTGACTCAGAGGGTTTATGAAAAATAATATATGTGTACATATATCCAAATATATGTAGAGAGTAAGTTTATTTAACTTTTTAAATTTACAAATGAAAGTTGTATTTATTGCTTACAACATGATGTTTAAAGTATATATACACTGTGGAAAGACTAAATTGAGCTGATTAATCATCTCACATATTTATCGTTTTTTGTGGTAAGAAGAAAATATTTTCAAGGACTAAATATGGAGTCCATTGAATAGAGACATAATACAATTAAGATGTGGAAGACATTATTGTTTATTACGAATGTTATGTGTGTCTATCTAGAAATACTTAAACGCAATTAGAAAGTCAAGCAAAACAAAGGACATTTCAAAAAAGCAGCATATAAACATGGAGAAATGTAAAAGAATAATAGTGAATAACTGAAAAATGTAGAAAATATTCTGCCTTCCTCTTGCAACTTTGCATTTGAGTAGGAAAGGCTTAGTGACATAAAATTTCATTATATTATCTTAGGATATAGTCATAATACTTAGTTCTAGAGTAAACAGTATTTTATAATTATGAAATTTTAAAAATTGTTTCCAAATTTCATGATCAAACAAAAGCAAGTATATGAAAAATTTCATTTTAGTCATAAAACATAATATAAATAAGTAACTTTGACAATGCAAAAGTCATACAAACATGAAGTGAGAAAGAGAGTGGGTGTGGTGAAGAGCAGTGATGGGTGATATTTTCATCATTTTATGTTGTAGAGGAGGCAATACAGATGGCCTGTAAAGAAACTTTGAAAAAACCCAACACTTGGGATTTAAAACTGAATTTTACAAATTAGAAATAGGACAGAATTTCCTTAAATCAATAAATATTTTACACCAACACCTACAATAATCATCAAAATTAATGGAGAAACTATAGGCACATATCTTTTAATATTCTGTAAGTCAAATATTATCTTACCATTACCTAGGCTAAAATAGGTAGGCCTATTCAACATCGTACATAAAGAAAAAGAATTAAGTGGAAAGAAAGAGAAGAGATAAGATTGTTAGCCAGGCATGTTGGCTCATGCCTGTAATCCCAGCATTTTGGGAGGCGAAGGCAGATGGATCACTTGAGGCCAGGAGTATAAGACCAGCCTGGCCAACATGACAAAACCCCATTTCTATTAAATATACAAAAATTAGCCAGGCAAAGTGGCATGCACCTGTACTCACAGCTGTTTGGGAGGCTGAGGCATGAGAATTGCTTAAATCCAAGAGACAGAGTTTGCAATAAACTGACATCATGACACTGTACTGCAACCTGGGGGACAGAGCAAGACTCTGTCTCAAAATTTTTTTTAAAAATTGTCATATTATGAAACAAAACAAAAGTAAACTAATAGAATAAGAGATTTCAGTGAGTTGCCAGTTAAAATATCACCTTATAAAATAAACAGCATTATTCTATAAGAGCAATAGTCAAGATAATTAAAAATAAGATCTTACTGATGATAATTGCAAAAGTATAAAACACATAGGACCAAAATTTTAAAATGTCATGTCCCAAGACTTCATAGCGAAAAATTTTAAACTTCACTACATTTTATAAAGGCAAATCTGCTTCATGTTCTTATGTTCTTAGATGGGATGACAAGATGTCAGTCTTCATCAAATTTAAAATCAATTCAATCTTAATAAAAATTTCAGCTAGAATGTTTGCATAATTAAACAAAAGTATTCTTAAATTTATATGGTAAAATAATGAATTCAATTTTTAAATTTTTACAATTTTAAAAAGAAGGTCATATAAGTGGCTTTTGTCTTTCAAGATGTCTTGAAAACATACTACAAAGCCATGATAATAAATAGCATAATTAGGTATAAAAGGCACAGTGCTGGTGCAAACACAGGCACTTAGACCAAGAAACAGAATAGACCAGTAGGATAGAATAGATAAGCACAGCGGCAGACACGCGTGCATGTACTACACGGTCATACAAATGTACATATATATGAATCTAAGAAGTGTATCATAAAGGTGGCAATATAAAAACAAATAAGGGATTTCTGTCTTAGGCGCATTAGATTCTTGCAGGGATTTCTAGGGAAGGAGGGACCTGTGAAGCAATAGCAGTGCACCAATGCTGTAACAAGAATCACATTGAGGATTGGTCACAAACACTAAAGTATTCCTGTCTACCTGGGAAAGTGACTGGAATGACAAGGAACTGGTTTTCCTGAATCGATAAACTAAGATCCTTCTAAACATAATTACTCTTAAAGACAGTATGAATTCCAAAACAAATGGCAAATAAGAAGGCTAAATTGAAGCTCCCACTAGGATGAACAGAATAGCATGTGGAGACTCATATCGTGAACTTTTGCTCCAAGAACTACTGCAGGAATAGACCAGGAGTTCAAAGAGAATTCGCAGACCCTTTGAAGTAAGCAGATTGCTCCTGCAGGACCCGGGACACAGCCCAAATACTTTGCGGGTATCTACAGCTCAGCGACCTAAAGATGATTCGCATCACAGGACTCTGCTGACATCCCCCAGTACCAGCCCAGAGACTGGTAGCCCTGTTGGGTGGCTAGAATAAAAATAACAATCACTATAGTTCAGCTCTCAGAAAGCCACATCCCTAGAAGAAAGGGGAGAGTTCTACAGCAAGGAAGCAATCCATGGGACAAAAGATTTGAACAGCAGCAATGAATCCCAGATCTTCCCTCTGACATAGCCTACCCAAATGAGAAGGAACCAGAAAATCAATTCTATTAATATGACAAAGCAAGGTTCTTTGACACACCCAAAAAAATCACACTAGCTCACCATCAGTGGAGGATCCAAACCAAGAAGAAATCCCTGAATTTTCAGAAAAAGAATTCAGAAGGTCAATCATTAAACTAATCAAGGAAGCACCATAGAAAGGTGAAATCCAACTTAAGGAAATTAGAAAAAAAAAATAATACCATATATGAGGGGAGAAATTTTCAGGGAAATAGATAGTATAAATAGAAAACAATCACAACTTCAAGAGATAAAGAACACACCAAGAGAAATGCAAAATGTACTGGAAAGTCTCAGCAACAGAATCATACAAGCAGAAGAAAGAAGTTCACCGCTCGAAGACAAGGTTTCAAAAAAACTCAATCCAAGAAAGACAAATAAAAAAGAATTTTTAAAAATGAAAAAAGTCTTCAAGAAGTTTGGAGTTAAACCACCCCAAACTTGTGGTTAAACTTTAACTACCAAAAAGAAAACTAAGAATAATTGATGGTCCTGAGAAAGAAGATAAATCTAAAAGTCCAGAAAACATATTTGGGGGAATAATCAAGGAAAACTTCCCCAACCTTGCTAGAGATCTAGATATCCAAATACAAGAAGCTCAAAGAACACCTGGGAAATTCACAGCAAAAAGATCATCAGGCAGGTTCATAATCAGGTTATCTGAAGTCAAGGTGAAGGAAACACTCTTAAGAACTGGAAACCATCATTCTCAGCAAACTGATGCAAGAGCAGAAAATCAAACACCACATGTTCTCACTCATAGGTGGGTGTTGAACAATGAGAACAAATGGACATGGGGAGGGGAGCACTACACACTGGGGTACGTTGGGGAGAAATGGGGCAGGGATGGGGGGGTTGAGAAGGTGGGGAGAGATAGCATGGGGAGAAATGACAGACATAGGTGAGGGGAAGGAAGGCAGCAAATCACACTGCCATGTGTGTACCTATGCAACAATCTTGCATGTTCTTCACATGTACCCCAAAACCTAAAATGCAATAAAACAAATTTTTTAAAAAAGAGCTATAAAGGAAAACCTATCAGATTAACAGCACATTTCTCAGCAGAAACCCTACAAGCTAGAAGGATTTGGGGCCCTATCTTCAAACTCCTTAAACAGAACAATTATCAGCCAGGAATTTTGTCTCCAGTGAAACTAAGCTTCATAAATGAAGGAAAGATACAGTCTTTTACAGACAAACAAATGCTGAGAGAACTGACCACTCTCAACCCAGTACTATAAGAAGTGCTAAAAGGAGCTCTAAATTTTGAAACAAATCCTGGAAACACATCAAAACAGAGCCTCTTTAAAGCATGAATCTCACAGGATGTACAAAGCAAAAATACAATCAATAAATAAACAAACAAACCAAGGTATTCAAATAACAAATAGCAAGATGAATAGAATGGTACCTTACATCTCAATGCTAATGTTGAATGTAAATTGCCTTAATGCTCCACTTAAAAGGCACAGAATGGCAGAATGAGTAAGAATACACCAACTAAGCATCTGCTGCCTTCACATAAGGACTCACATAAACTTAAGGTAAGGGGGTGGGAAAAGACATTCCATGTAAATGGACACCAATGGATGTGGTAGCCATAGAGAAAGTTTTCTCTGCCTGTGGAAAGAGGAAGAATGAGAAGGCCTTTAATGTGGTTTCAGTGCCAGCTTAGCCACAGTAGAACAGAACATCAGGTAAATTGCTGAGGTTATTGACACCAATCTCTGCCTTCCAAATAGTATCTCTGGATATTCCTGGGTCCCAGGGAACTTGCCATGATGAAGAACAGGGTCCTGAGCAAGGCCCAGTGTTGTGCTGGCTTCAGATCTGACCTGGCACAGTCCCAGCGATCATAGGACAGGAGTGCTTACATTACCACACCCCCAGTTCCAGGTGGCTCATCACAGAGAGAGAAACTTCATATGTTCAGGAGAAAATAGGGGAAAAATCACAGCATCATTGCACTTGGGGTCTGCTTACCAATAGTAACATTGAATGTAAATGAACTAAATTCTGCAATCTAAAGACATAGAGTGGCTTAATAGATGAAAAAAAAAAAAACAAAAACGGGAGCACAATGCTAGTAGATGCCTAAAAACTGAATTTCTAAGAGAATTTGATGGTGTACAGTCCGCTGGAGATAACAGAGTACTTTAATGGGAGCAACTATTAGGCTGCAAGAGCTAGACAAGGCTGTTAGACATTTCATCAGTCGGGTATATGTGTCTTTACCAAATGAGGAGACAAGACTACTTTTGCTTAAAAATCTGTTATGTAGACAGGGAAGCCTATTGACCCAAAAAGAACTAGCACGACTTGCTAAAATGACTGATGAATGCACAGGAAGTGACCTAACAGCTTTGGTAAAAGATGCAGCACTGGGTCCTATCCGAGTACTGAAACCAGAACAGGTGAAGAATATGTCTGCCAGTGAGATGAGAAATATTCGATTATCTGATTTCACTGAATCCTTGAAAAAGATAAAACACAGCATCAGCCCTCGAACTTTAGAAGTGTACATACGTTTGAACAAGGACTTTGGATATAGAACTGTTTAAGGAAATACCTTTGTAAACCTGCAGAACATTTTACTTAACAAAAGAGCAACACAATTAACAGTCGTCAGCCTCAGAAACAGCCTAAGTTTACAGGACTTTTTAGATTCTTACATATTTGTGCACCAAACTTGAAGATGAACCGGAAAACAAACTTAAACAAAATATACAATGCAAATGGAGTGTTTTTGTTATTTAAGGCCTTGCCTTAATGGTCACAGTTATCCCAATGGACACTGATGAGCACAACAAAACTGATTCTGATCTTCTTTACCAATATAATCATAATGTAAATAATAATTTGTATATTGTGTTGCAGATGGAAGAATTCCAGAGACAGTGAATGGCAGAAGACACAAGAACCTTTGGTTGGTTTGTCTTCTGAAGTTTTTTCTTAAAATAGTAATTTATCCTACTTTCTTTCCTATTTTTGTCTTAACTACAAGTGACCAGAATGCCAAACACTCTTAAGTTTATTTTCTTTTTTCTTTTTATAAATTCAGTGTGCCAAATGAAACTCTTTTCCTATGTAACTGTAATAGGAAAAAGTTTATGTTGAGAGTTTCTTCTTCATAAATCTACCAGCATAGAACAGTTATGGTGTTCTTTTTACCTTTTATTTTTCTATTATCTTGCTATCAAATACTTTAGATAGCAATACAATGGCAACAAAGCAAATCTGGTAGAATAGAGAAGGTTTGAAGGTTTGAGTTATTCTGTCATATAGCATGTAGATCAGTCCTCATGTGACCTGCAGTATTTTTTTTTTCTAAAGTATTTTTCAAATGTCTATTGTAGACCGTTAACTTCTTCCTGATGGAATTTATCGTTTGCAAGAATTATTCTGGTATTTAAGAGAACCAAGAGACTACCATCTTTCCAAGTATCTTAAGGGTAAAAGCTTATTCTAAAATAGTCTGTCCACTGAGATGATTAGATTTCTGACTTGCAAATACACTTTGTGCTCCAGAAGAATTAGAGGAAAAGCAGATATTAGAATCCTAATTTAAGTACATATACAGCAGTCTTTGTTTATAGTGTAGAATTCTTTATATTTTGAACAAAAACTAATTCTTTAGATAAAATGAACCACTACGCTTTGGTTTTGGACTCTGAGTCAAAGGATTTCCTTTAAACACATGTCTCAATTTTAATCGGTCTTTTGTACTTCAGAAGAAGTGAATTAAACGGTACAGATGCACAAAGTGGGTTTTTATCCTAATGTATTGGAAATAAATGATAAACTTTAGAAAAAATAAACTAATACAAAAGATCAATGAAACAAAAAGGAGTTTTCTGAAAAGATAAAGAATATTGACAAACCTTTAGCCAGACTAAATAAAATAAGAGAGAAGACCTAAATAAATAAAGCAGAGGTGAAAAAGGAGACATTACAATTAATACTGCAAAAATTCAAAGGATCATTAGTGGCTACTATGAGCAGCTATATGCCCATAAAGTATAAAATCTAGAAGAAATGAACTAATTCCTAGATACATACAATCTACCAAGATTGAACCATGAAGAAATCCAACACCTTGTGTTTCTATTTATTGATGTAATCATGACAGTATTGTAACATGTGTAGTAGGATAAATCCTCTTTTTGCTTTCCTCTAAGATTATTTTTAAATTTATTCTCATACATAAATTTTAAGAACTATTGCTCAAATTCCATAAATAACCTTTTTGGGCTTTCTTTAAACTTGATTTGAATTTACAGAATTATGTGAGTGAAAATACAACTATCATATTGAAGCCTCCCACTTATGAACATCATCTATGTTGTCAAATATTTAGATTTTATTTTATGTTCTCTGATATTATTTTATAATTTAATCTGTAAAGATGTTGTATTTTTTAAGAGTTCTTCCTAGATGCTTTATAATTTGTGTTATAACAACACAACACAGATTAAGACAGGTTCCCATTTTTTCGTATTTGTGTTGCTGTAACATTTTTTCTGTTTTTTAACATGTGAATTTAATCCTTTATGGTCTGCAGGTTCATAGTGAGAGAGATAAGTAAAGATTTGTATCAATATGTCAGGATACGTTGTCAAGATACATTTGAATGGAGAAGGTTTTACTTTTTAAAACAAATAGTTGAAAACTCTTAGCCATTAGTTCTTTACACATTACTTCTTCAATTTCTCTAGTCAGTACACATGCAGGAGCCTCTCAATTTGCCCCAATGCTTCTTGATATCATAAACATGTTTTTATCTCTTTACCTTTCTGGGATGCTTATAACGTAAATCACCATCTTTATGCTTCAATTGACTGCCTCTGTGAGTGTCTAGCTGAAACGTTTTTGCATTTTTCTTTTAAGTTGGTGAGTACATTTTTCTTAATGATGTAACTTATTATCATAGGACTGCCTCATTTCATAAATTTTCACATTAGTATGAATGTTATACATATTCTTCTATTTTAGCATCTGTATATCTTTTATGTATGATACAATTCTAAAGTATCTCTATGAAAAAAAGAAGGCAGTAAAGGAGAAACAGAAGAATAAATCTATCTGCATATTGATCTATTTTTTGCAATCTTTTGGTCTCCCAATTGTCAGCTTGTTGGCTCTATTCCCACTCTTTCACGTATATGTATAACCCTATCATTTAAAAATATAATTAGAGTATACTACACATTAACATTTCCCTCTGACATTGCATAGTGTTCAAATGTGTTGTTTTTTATTGCTTTGTAATGTACAGTGACATGAATGGCCCTTAATGTAGTTAACCATTTTTCTTTATTTGTGCTTTAATTATTTCATTATTTTCAAAAAGAACTTCTTAGGCCGGGCGCGGTGGCTCAAGCCTGTAATCCCAGCACTTTGGGAGGCCGAGGCGGGTGGATCACGAGGTCAAGAGATCGAGACCATCCTGGTCAACATGGTGAAACCCCGTCTCTACTAAAAATACAAAAAATTAGCTGGGCATTGTGGCGCGTGCCTGTAATCCCAGTTACTCAGGAGGCTGAGGCAGGAGAATTGCCTGAACCCAGGAGGCGGAGGTTGCGGTGAGCCGAGATCGTGCCACTGCACCACTCCAGCCTGGGTAACAAGAGCGAAACTCCGTCTCAAAAAAAAAAAAAAAAAAAAAAAGAACTTCTTGATTTCTGCCTAAATTTCATTATTTACCAAAAAGTCATCCAGGGACATGTTGTTTAATTTCGATGCAGGCTGGGTGCAGTGGCTCATGCCTGTAATCCCAGCACTTTGGGAGACCAAGGTGGGTGGATCATGAGGTCAGAAGTTCAAGACCAGCCTGACCAACATAGTGAAACCCCAGCTCTACTAAAAATACAAAAATTAGCCAGGTGTGGTGGTGGGCACTGTAATCCCACCTACTCAGGAGGCTGAGACAGGAAAATCACTTGAACCTGGAAGGTGGAAGTTGCAGTGAGCTGAGATCATGCCACTGCCCTCCAGCCTGGGCAACAGAGTGAGACCCCATTCCAAAAAAAAAAAAAAAAAAAAAAAAAAAATTTCCATGTAATTGCATGGTTTTGAGTGATTTTCACACTCTTGACTTCTGTTTGTATTGCACTGTGGTCTGATAGTGTGTTTTGTATAGTTTGGGTTCTTTTACATTTGTTGAGGATTGTTTTATGTCCAATTATGTGGTTAATTTTAGAGTAGGTGCCATGTAGTCGTGAGAAAAATGTATATTTTGTTGTTTTGCGGTGGAGAATTATGTAGATATCTATCAGGTTCATTATGTAGATATCTGTAGGGTCTTTATTTGAAGCTTACTTCTTGTCTCTGGTTTCAGAGGAGGTGGGTGTGGCAGTAAGGTATTTTTGGTGTTGACGCTTTGGAGTGTGATCCAGCAGGTGGGACTTGACTTATTGTTTGGTTTGTAGACTCCTGCTCAGTGGCGGGGCTCTCCTGTGGTTCCTCACAGTTGCAGCCATGTTCCCTCTCAATGCTCTGAAACTATGGTTCCTTTCCCCTTTGAATGTTGGCTGTAGAACGTGACTTGGCACTCCTAGGCTGCCCACTGCAGCTCTAAGGTGATCTCAGTGTTTATGTTCTTTTCCCAATTTGGAGGCAGCAGAGTAAGGGCTCTTAGTAGTGGCTGTGGCCAAGGGTCACTTGCTTGTCTCCTGAGAGTTCCACTTCAGAGAGATGCAGGTCAGCAATTGCTCAATGCAATCAGCCCAGGATGAAAGGTCTGTGCTTTAGGTCCAAGTCAGGGTTTCCGTGTTCAGTGACAAGCAGTGAGAAGTGTGTGGGGCCCATGAGAGATGAGCTTGCCTCTTCTCCCTGAGTTGATTGCAGTTCGTTGGAAGTGTGAATAAGGTACTTATCCTTCACTCCTTTATTAGTCCAAAGGTGGCCAGGGCAGTTCCACTGCAGAGACAGTAGCAGAGAGGCTTTCAGTTGCCCCTGGAGACTCTGTCCAGGCAGCTTCTGAGTTGGCACTGGCTTGATAACCCTAGCAATGGCAGGCTTGAGGCCCAGGCTTGGAAGACCTGCCAGTGAGGAGATACGGGAACAGGCGCTCACATCACAGTCTGGTCACTTTTCCACAGGGCTGCTGTGATATGGGTGAGGACCATTCCAGTCCCTGGTTGCCTCAGATTTTCCAGTACCTAGAGATATCGACAGTGAAGCCTGCAAAACAGCAAAAAGAACAGCTTGTCCTTCCCTCTGGGAGAGTCAGCCCAGGGAGGTACAGGACTGCTGCTGGCTCAAAAGCACCTGTAGGAGGTGACCCAAGACCCCAGTTGGGAGGTACCACCCAGTGAGAAGGAATGGGATCAGGGACCTGCTTAAAGAACCAGTCCAGACACATTTTGGTATAGTAGCTATAGTAGGTCTGCTTCAGCCTCCAGTTGTTTCAGACACTCCAAAGCCCAAAGGCTGGCATGGCTGTGTCACCAAAATAGCAAAGATGTCGGCCCACCCCTCCCTCTGGGATCTCCATCCCAGGGAGGTTACAAATCTCTGTTGGCTGGAGAACACTGACAGGAATGGCTGGAGTCCCCAGTAG